TGTGACTCTGTGTCTTTTTATTTAAGAGTTTAGTCCATTTATATTTAGAGTTAATATTGATATGTTAGCATCTGTATTTGCCATTGCGTTTGTCTTTCCTTTGATCTTATTTATTTATTCTTTTAATAAATTTTTTTTTTTTTTTGGCCTTCTGTCGTTGTTATTTGTCCCTCTGAGGTTCTGGCTTTAGGACTCTTTGTAGTATTTTTTGGAGTGGGGTTTTAGTTGTAATGAAATTCCAGAGTTTCTGTTTGTCTGGGAAGGTCCTTATTCTTTCTTCATAGAGGAAGGAGAGCTTTGCGGGATAGAGTATTCTTGGTTGGCATCTGTTTTCTTGGAGTCTGTTGACTATGTCCCTCTACTCTCTCCTTGCCTGTAGTGTTTCTTCGGAGAAGTCTGATGTTAGCCTGATTGGTTTTCCTTTGACTGTTATCTGTTTCTTCCCTCTTGTCAGCTTCATCATTTTTTCCTTGTCCTGGATTCTTGGGAGCTTTACTATTATGTGTCTTGCTGTATTTTTCCTTTCGTCGTGGAAGTTTGGTGTTCTTGTTGCTTTTTGTATATCAATTTTCAGCTCATTCTTCACGTTTGAGAAGTTCTCTTCAATTATCTCCTAGAATATTTTCTCTGTTCCTACATCTCTCTCCTCTCCTTCTGGTTTTCCTATAACTCTTATATTTCCTTTCTCATGGAGTCAGATAGTTCCCGAAGTCTTTTTTCGGTATTTTTCCTTCTTACTTCTCTTTCCTTTTCTGTTTTTGTTCTATGTATTTTATGATTTCAGGTCATACAGTCAAGTCTTTAACACATTTTGAGGATTTTTGCGTTTAAGTTGTGAGATAATGGTGTAGTTTCATTCTTCTGCATGTGGCTGTCCATTTTTCCCAACACCATTTGGTGAAGAGACTTTCCTTACTCCATTGTATACTCTTGGCTCCTGTGTCAAAGGTTAACTATCTATATAAGTGTGGGTTTATTTCTGGGCTCTCAATTCTAGTCCATTGGTCTGTGTCTGTTTTTTGTTCCAGTATTATGCTGTTTTTAAACAGTATAGCTTTGTAGTATAGTTTGAAGTCTGGAAGTGTGATAATACCATTCTTCCTCTTTTTTGTCAGGATTGCTTGAGTTAAATGGGGTCTGTTATTTTTCCATGTAACATCAATAATGTTTATTCTATTTCTTTGAAAAATACCACTGAAATATTGATAGGGATTGCATTGAATCTGTATATTGCTTTGGGTAAGATGACCTTTTATTTATTTATTTATTTATTTTTAATTAAATAATAAATTTTATTTTTATATTCCCCCATACAACTGCACATGCCCCATTCTGACCCCAATCCCTCCCCTCCTGGACCCCACCCCCCAAAAAGTATCTCTGGTTCATAGTTTTTTGTTGATTTTGATTTTCACTTTCTTATAGTTATTCATTTTCCTGATCCCTTATTTAAGTTTTCTAGATTCCTGCTATGAGTGAGACCATCCGGTATTTTTCTTTTTCTTTTTGGCTTATTTCGCTGAGCATGATCCCGTCCAGCGCCATCCATGTTGCTGCAAATTGCATGTGTTTATCTTTTTTGAATGCTGAGTAATATTCCATGGTATATATGTACCACATCTTCTTGATCCAGTCAAGATGACCTTTTAAACAATGTTAATTCTTCCAGTCCATGAGGAGGGAATATCTTTCCATTTCTTTGTGTCTTCTATTTCTTTAACAATGTTTTATTGTTTTCTTTGCATAGATCTTTCACTTTCTTTGCTAGGTTTATTCCCAAGTATTTATTTTTTTTGGTGAGATTGTAAATTGGGATTGTAATTGTAAATGTCTTAATTTCTTCACCTTATAGTTCATTATTTTTTTAAAGGAAGACAACTCATTTTTGCATGTTGATTTTGTATCCTACTGCTTTCTTAAACTTTATTGTCTTAATTAGTTTTTTACATGGAGTCTTTAGAGCTATCTATTTTATCACATCATCTGTAAATAATGATAACTTTTCTTATTCTTTCCCAATTTGAATTCCCTTTTTTTCCTTCTCTTGCTCATGCTCAAACTAGGACTTTTAATACTGTGTTGAGTAATAATGTTGAGAGTGGATATCCTTGTCATGTTCCAGATCTTTGTGGCAAGACTTTGAGATTTTCACCATTGAGAATGATACTAGCCATGTGTTTGTCATATATGGGTTTTATTAAGATACATTCCATTTACCCCGAAATTTTCAAGGGTTTCCGTCAAAAATGAATCCTGAATCTTATCAAATGATTTTTCATCATCTATCGACATGATCATGTGTTTTTTTTTCCTTTCCTTTCTGTGATGTGATGAATTACATTGACTGATTTTCAAAGGCCGAACCATCCTTTTATTCCTGGTATAAATCCCACTTCGTCGTGGTATATAATCTTTTTAATGTATTGTTGGATTGACTTTGCTAAGATTTTATTGAGGATTTTTGTAAATATTTTCTTTTTCTTTTTTTTAAATTAATTAATTAACTTATTTATACAAGCACTGGGTACAGTCAGAAGCACGGGAAGGTGAGAGAATTCACCAGAGCCAGAGCGGGGAGCAGAACAGGTAGAAGGACCGAGGTACACTGCTGAGGGGAGCAGCGGGCGGCAGGAGAGGTCTGCGCGCCATATGGGACCCTCCTCCAGTGGCCGGGAGCAGCCGGGGATCGAACCGGCACTGCAAAGATTGCGGGCAGCTTCGCAACCCATTGCTCAACCACTGCGCCCCTGGGGAGGCCCTGTATATATTTTCATTAGGAAGATTGGTCTGCAGTTTTCTTTCTTTTTTAAGATTTATTTATTTATTTATACAAGTACTGGGTACAGTCAGAAGCGTGGAAGGGTGAGAGAATTCACCAGAGCCAGTGTGGGGAACAGAACAGGCAGACTGATGAAATACACTGCTAAGGGGAGCAGCGGGCGCAGCAGGAGAGGTCTGTCGCACCATATGGGACCCTTGCTGGCGGCCAGGGATTGAACCGGCACTGAAGAGGTGGGCAGCTTCGCAGCGCAGCACTGAACTGCTGTGCCACCAGGGGAGGCCCAGTTTTCTTTCTTTTTATTGTCTGTTTGGTTTTGGTATTACCATAATATTGACTTCATAAAATGAGCTTTTGAAAGAGTGAGTGGCATAGGTAATAATTCATCTTTGAAGCTTTGGTAGAATTGACTTGTGAAGTTATCTGGCCTGGACTTTTGTTTTGGGGGAGAGTTTTGCTATGTTTCAATTTCCTTGCTCGTGATTGATTTGTTCAGGTTTTCTGTTTCTTACCTATTCAGTTTTGGATGATTGTATAATCTAAGAATCTGTCCATCTCATCTACGTTGTTGAATTTGTTTGTGTGTAATTGTTCATAGTAATCTGTTATTATCCTCTGAATTTCTACAGTTCTATTGTAACTTCTCTTGCATTCATAACTGTATCATTTGAATTCCCCCCCCCCCTTTTTCTTAGTGAGTCTAGCTAAATGTTTATCTATTTTGTTTCTTTTTCCAAAGAACTAGCTTTTGGCTTCTCTGAACTTTTGGACTGTCCTTTTTGATTTCTATTTTATTTATTTCTGCTCTAATTTTTGTCATTTTTTTCCTTTGGTTTTTATTTTTCTTCTTTTTTGAATTACTTGAGATGAGAGGCAAAGTTATTTATTCAGGCTCTTTCTGGTTCCTTGATATGGGCCTGAATTGTTTTGGCTTCCCTCTTAGGAGTGCTTATGCTATGTCCCATGTGTTCTGAAAGGTTGTGTCCTCATCATCATTTGTCTTGAGGTATTTTAAAATTTCTTCTTTAATTTCCTCATTAATCCAGTGGTCGTTCAGTTGTGTATTGTTCAGTCTCCACATATTAGAGTATTTCCTTGTTTTCTCTTTGTCGTGGATTAGTAGTAGTTTAGTACCAGTATGGTCAGAGAAGATAGTTGATATGATTTCAATCTTCATTTAAGTGTGTAATTTTAACACCTCTATGATTTTGATCTTGGTATCTATTGAATGTCTTTTTTCATTAAATTTGGAATCTTGTTGGTTATTGGAATGCAATATGATTTTCAATGGAAACCTGAGCACTTTTGTGTCATATTTTAAGTCTTAGTTCTTATTTAAACACTGTTTTATTTGAGTTTTTTTGACACTGCCTTGGCAAGGGAGGAAAAGATTCCATATTATTAATTCCAGGTAAAGTTAGAAATCCAGTTTCCTCACTTGGCCTTATCTTGACAATTGACTTTGGAGTTTTATTATTTTGGGTATGAGTGGAAATTCCTACTCCCCACATAATCTCTACCGCTATTGTAGTAAAGATGGTCTCATTATTGGTGGGTGAAGATGAAAGCCCTTATTTTTTGGTATCATCCCATGGGTAGGAGGAAGAGTGATTTGCTACTTCCAGGTCAGGATAGAAGTTCTGACTTCTTTATGTGGTCTTTGGTGCTATAAGTGGCCCTCATTTCTGACTGGCATGGTTAAAAGTCTTAGCTACCTACTTAGCTACCTACTTTCTCTGGAACTTCTCCAACAGAAGTATTGGCTGCCTTATTTTTGCAACAAGAGGATAACACCTAAACTTCCTACGTAGCTTTCGTTGGCAGGTTGAGACTGGGACTGCCGTTGAATTCTGTGGTGTTTTGACTGGAATAGAGTGGTTAGTTTCTGAAATTTTTTGTCATGCTAGGTTTCCCTTTTCCTGGTGTAGAGTTGTAGACTTTAGTTAGGACTATTGTTTGTCTGCAATTTTGGTATTTCCAGGTTGCTGTTTTTCCTGCCTCTACATCTGGGATATATAAATCAACCACTGTGGTGTTCCTTGGGTTCCAAAGTCTCGAGTTGGGTTTCTTTCTTTTTTCTCTCATTTAAATTTGTACATTCATTTTGTTATAATATTGAGTTGGACTTAGTAGGAGGGATAGTGAAAGTATATTAATTCCATCTGTCTAGAAACTGAGATCATTGCAGTTATTTTGAACTTTATGGGTCTTCTCTATGCAGGTATCTGGAGCTGGAAAGCAGTGGCCATCGGAATGAAGTCAGGCTGCATTACCGCTCGGGCAGTCACCGTCCTCACACAGAAGTGTTTCCTTACATTTTGGCTGATGACAAGTGGCACAAGCTCTCTTTAGCCATCAGTGCCTCCCATCTGATTTTACACATCGACTGTAATAAGTAAGTGAGATGTTTTTGGTTCAACAAATAGAAGATTTTAAGAAATGGCCATTAACTCATATTACATGCTTAATGTCTCTTTTCTGCAGAATATATGAAAGGGTGGTGGAAAAACCTTCCACAGACTTGCCTCTGGACACAACATTTTGGCTGGGACAGAGAAATAATGCACATGGATATTTTAAGGTATCTTTTGGCTAAAGTCTGAACATAAAGTGTAAAGTATAATTATAAAAGCTTTGTAATGAACTTAGAAAAGTACATTTTGCTTTTTATGGTGTAAGACAAAGTAATTTGATTTGCACATATTTTTTTTCTATTTCTTTTTAACACTGGCGCTTTATTTAGCCAATCAACACTGTATTTCTTTCTATTCCTAAATGAGTTTGATTTTTAGATATAACAGAGATGGTCATAAGGGAGAAATCAGGACAGTTATTTTATCATTCTTGAAATTAGCCATCCAAAGTAATAAAAATCTAAAATGTTAATATACAAATGAACTCTCCACCATTAAAATGTAACTTTGATGATACTTCTACGGAAATATTAAAGTGGATAAAAAGGTTTTTAATATTAATTATTCATGCTCTCTGTGTTCTCCAGAAAGTGGGTAAGGGATACATATTTATTCACAAATTTATCAAAACTAAAAAGCAGTCATAATTTAGATAGTTTTCTTTAGTGTCTACTAAGACACACACTCCATAGAATTTCCTTTTTGTTAAGAATCTAAAAGACATCCTGTTTAACTTTGATTGTTTTAAGGTTGAAGAAATAAAGTCCAGAAAATTGTTAAGCTGCAGATCTCTAGTGTAATCACTCCTTCCCTAGTGACTGTGACAGTGTCTGTCATACAGAAGCAACTTGGTAAATGGCTGTTAAATAAAAGAATGATCCATGATATCCCCAACTCATGGATGTCAAGATTGAGTAGGATCCAGTAACTCAAAGTTGTGTTTTTGTTTTCCTTTTTAAAGGTTTATTTTTATTATTTATTCATACAAGAACTGGGGTGTAGTCAGAGGTTTGGGGAGTGAGAAAATTCACCAGAGGCTGAGTGGGGAGCAGAACAGATGGATTATACTGAAATCCACTGCTAAGGGGAGCAGCCGGCAAGACAAGAGAGGTCTGCTGTGCCCAGTGTGGGTCAGTTCCCTGGCTGGGGATTGAACTCAGGCCATGGCAGTGACAAGCACTGAGACTCAACCCCTAGGCAGCAAGGGAGGCCCCCTTAAAGTTGTGTTATAATCAAGGTTTATAATTCCAGCAAGGCGTTTTTTAAACTTATGTAACTATCTTTACATGGCAACTAAATATTTTGAATATTTCATCAAATCATAGTCTTGTTAGCCTTAATACAGGGTCTTCCCCCCTCCCCTTAAATATGCATGAACCTGTTCAGAGAGCGTTAATAATCTGTACCAAGTCAGTAATGGGGATACCCTTATGCTTGCCTGAAAAAGTATTCTTTTCTCCTGAAAGGGATGCCACATTTGTGCTGTGTGGGCCAAATCTCTCCTACGTGTACTCATGAGAAATGTTTCCATGTGATCTAGATAGGACCTCTTCATCTTTCTCACATATCAGTTGTATACACTATGCTAGAGGTCACATTTTTTATATGTGGTTGTGAAAATGATACACCCTTGAGTTGTGCAGTACCTAGAAGACTTGTTTTCACATTGCTGTTTCCAAATGACCAGGACCTGTATATAAGTTCCATCCTGAATCCAATCCCAAGCAGATTATAGAACCAACATTTAGGCTTCTCTGGTGGCCTACAGGTTAAATCTCAGTGCTATCACCCCTACCACCTGAGTTCGAATTTGATCCCTGCCCATGGAGCTGACCCACATTGGGCACATCAGACTTCTCCTGTGTCTCCCACTGCTGCCCTCAGCAGTGGATTTCAGTAGATCTGCCTGTTCCACTCCTCACTCTGTCTGTGGTGAATCCTTTCACCCCTTACACCACTGGCCTACACCCCAGTACTTCTAAACAAAAAATATTAAATAAATAAAAAAATAAAAAATATAACATAGCCAACATTTGCTACCCAGTAGACTGAAATATATATCACTTACACCTTGTTTTTGTGCCATGTTATTTACCACACTAAACATGGGCCAGTATTTGGCTGGTAAATCTTTGTAGGTACATTCAGCATCGTCTTGCTAATATGTTGGTACCAGTCAGCCCTGTCACCAGACATTCTGCATTTATTTTTCGAAGGGATAATGTGAAATATTAATTAAAGAAAATATATTATGTTGATGAGGGAAGAGCGGGGGTGGTAGGTGAAGGGCACAGTTGAAGTGTGTCTGATGAGGTTGCTTTTGAGCTACTGTTTGGTCTTTACATTAAGATCCCAGTAAGCTGGATGCTAATTACACCTTAATGATTAAGGACTCATGTAAATTTTGCCTGTAAACATGTAATGTGGCCTTTTATGTAAAATAGGTCATTTCTTGCTGACATTTAAAAAAATTATGTTAAACTTCCTGTATTCCTAAGGACTCCTCATTAAGCCTTCCTGTAGCTGCTTAATAAATCGTTAGTCTTCTTTCAATTGAGACATTAGTGTGAAAGATCCAACTGAAAAATGAAAAATGCTTGAATGCGTATTGCCGTTATGACTCAGTTTTTCTATTCTTTTCTTTCTGATAATTGCTGTTAATTTATAATTGGTATCAGTTTTGCTATTGCTGAAATCACAAGTGATTTTTCAGGTTGATTTTTAAAGGTCATTTTCAAGCCGTTCTTTCGTAACTCACTAAAAATAACTCCTCAAAACAACATGCCTATTGCCTCTTAATTATATCTTGACATTTAATCTTAAGGTAAAAATATTATCAATGTGAATATGTGGTTAATCATCTATCTTGCCTGTTGTATTTCTTTTCTTTCCCTTTGTTTTGAAGTAAATGTGATGTTTTCAGAAGGGTTTTATCCTCAGGGATTTTTTTTTTTTTTTTTGGTGAGTCTTTGTTGTAATGTTTTTCCTTCATGAACTTGACTATTAAATGTAATTTTGGTAGATGAAAGTAATATGTCTTTTTACAATTTTTTCACACACAGGGTATAATGCAAGATGTGCAATTACTTGTCATGCCCCAAGGATTCATTGCCCAGTGCCCAGATCTTAATCGCAGTAAGTCCATTAGTGGTTATACTGTGTGATGGGGGGGTGTCTTCTTGCTTAATTTTGTCCGGACTGTCAGTTTGAAATTGAGTGGCCAGATATTAGTTGTCAGCAGAGATATAACTAGTTTGAACCTTTTGTAAATCCATCTTGATCAATGTAGTGTTTGTAATTCCAGCCTGTCCAACTTGCAATGACTTCCATGGACTCGTGCAGAAAATCATGGAGCTTCAGGACATTTTAGCCAAAACATCAGCCAAGGTAAAGGCTACTTGGGAATATATTGTGGGAGGGCTGAAACATTCTCGAGGGCACTTGTAGTCCCTTATATTGGGTTGTCGGAAAAATCATGACGTGTTTTTTCCTGTTTTTCAAAGAAAAAAATACGTCATGACTTTTCCGACAATCCAATATAAACATAAATGTTCATCTTTCAGACTTGTCTTATACTGTACTCTTTGCTAGGACTGACTCTAAATCTCTGCTCAAGAAAAGGCTTATAAATATACAAATCCTGGCCTTCTGTATAACAAATGATTCAGTAAATCAGGAATGAGGCAGATTACCTGCTTTTCACATTGCTTATTATGACAGGATTTATGGTTTAATTTATTTTTTTATGAGTTATTTTATTTGGATTTTTTTTTATAAGGAAAGAGGAGAGAGGTCGTTGTAAAGAATACGGACTCTAAAATTACTTCAAGGAAGTGGTACCACAAATGCTTCCTAGAACTGCGTTTTCACTGACTTAAGCTTATATAAGGTTTACTTAGAATTTCTCCAGGTTTTTGTCCTCTTGCATACTAGTTTTTGGTGACATAAAGGTTGCATTGTCTGTGTATGATTTTTGTTTCAATACAATATAAGTTTGGAAATTTTTGTTTTCACCTGAGTAAACTTTTTTTTTAAAGATTTATTTCATTTATACAAGAACGGGGGTACAGGCCAGATGCGCAGGAGGGTGAGAGGATTCACCAGAGACAGAGGGTGAACAGAACAGGCAGACTGATGAAATACACTGCTGAGGGGAGCAGCGGGCGCGACAGGAGAGGTCTGCTGTGCTATGTGGGTTGCTCTGAGGCGGGCGGGGATTGAACCGTCACTGTGAAGCAAACAGCTTCACAGCGCTGTGCTCAACCGCCTGTGCCACCAGAGAGGCCCTTGAGTAAACTTTTTTATGAAATGAAGCCTTTTGATGAATGTCTCCATTGCAATGGAAAATGCTTCTCTGCAAATAAACCACAATTAAGGGGAAAGCCCTGCTTTTTTCATTAAAGACTTAGATATAATTAGAACAGGTAGTTGATGAGCACAGTCATCAATACCGGTATACACTTAAAAAAAATACCCACTGTCTGCAGCATTTTTGCATTTTGCACACTGGAGTAGTTAACAGTAAACTCCTTCCTTTGTGCTACAGCTGTCCCGAGCAGAGCAGCGGATGAACAGATTGGATCAGTGCTATTGTGAAAGGACTTGCACCACGAAGGGAACCACCTACCGAGAGTTTGAGTCCTGGACAGACGGCTGCAAGAACTGCACATGCCTGGTATGCCTTCCACAGGGCTCCAGCCTCAGGGAACTCGGATGCCCCCAGTCTTTAAAGATTTATGCAAGCAATGTAATCATGAAAATTTCAAGACCCATTTCCTCAAGACACAACATTCAAGTGCCAGTAAACCCAGTCAAATCTAAAGAACCGTGTGTTGCATTATTAACACTTTCTAGCTTATAAAAATGATTATGGTTTAGGAATGCTACCAAGTTCAAATTTATTGGTACACACGAGGAGAGAAATTTAAATTGGGTTAGTGAGGTGATTCCCAAAGGATCCTATTCTGCTGCCCTGAACATTTCCAGGGATTTTCCCCTCATGTTTTTATTAATGTATTTTCATAAGACTTATTTATACGCAGCAGGAAATAATGTGGCCAGACTGGGCCATAGGAGCAAATCATGGACTTTAAATAGAGAAGATAATCTTTAAACATTTATAAATACTGTGGAACACAAATTGTAGAATTTAAATAAATATGACTTCCCTTGTTGAGTTCTAAAAGAAGATGTAAGTGCATTTTTTCCCAAAATAAATATTCATTTAAAAAAATTAGACTTGAAGAATCTTCTGAAGTTCATCCACTTTATTCAAATATAGAATATCCTGTGTATAAAAAAAACCCAAAGGTCACTCTGAAATAACTGTATATGGGCACATGTGTGTGCATGACTACTTTATTTCTATTCAAGAACATCCTACGTTACTGTCAAAATGACAGTACTTTACAAGTACAATGAACCTTTCCCAACTTGTTAAAGGGGCACCAAACATTGAATTGAGCAAAATATGGGATGTTGTACACGGAGACCAGTAAACGGAATAGAAAGGCAGCTCGCTGGTTGAGTGACCCCAGGTCCTTGAACTCCCTATTGTCCTGTCTGTAGTTGGTGCTTCTGGTGATGGTTGTCAGCACTGCTCTGAGCGGAGTCTGTGGACCAAGATTGTATCTCCAGGATGGCAACAGCTATGTCAGACTCCTGATTTTTAATGCTCCGTTTGTGGGCAATGTGGGGAGACATGAGCCCCAGGCTTACTCTTCGCTTGTGACTTCCGTGACACTGTGCCCCCTTTCTCTGCACCCACGTTCTCCACCACCTCACTTCAGAAGGGGAGAAATCTAGCTCAGCTAGGATACATTGCTGGACAGAAGCTGGGAGCCAGTCCCCAACTGTGTTATTACCCAGCTGCTATTATCGTAGGGCTCTCTTTTACCGGTTTTGCTGTATAATAACCAAAGAGAATTGTGGTGTGAATGATATTTTATGGGAAGGGCTTGGAATTGAGGAGACAGATTAAAAAATACTTGAAGGCTATCAAATTGCCACTTGGACATTTTTTGTCATTTTCTTCTCAGAATGGAAGCATCCAGTGCGACACTCTGGTCTGCCCAGCTCCTGACTGCCCGCTGAAGTCAGCTCTTGCGTATGTGGATGGCAAGTGCTGTAAAGAATGCAAATGTGAGCAGAGCTTTTATGATGATTACTTTCTTTGGAAAAATAAAGCTTTGTACTAATAAATATTCACCCATCATTGGTTTAATCTGGGCATGCCAAAGAGCTTTCAGAAATGATAGAAAAAGGAAGCCTACCATCTCTAACTTGGTTGACTGATTCTTTTCCATTAAAAATGTTCTTCTTAATGCTCTAGCAGAAAGATTTTTTTCCATTGGAAAAATGTATTCTGTAGAGTGACAGTAGTTGGAATGGTAGGTAAGAAATTGGGTGCAAGGCATTTCTCTCATTATCCTGCTTGATTCAAGTAGATACAAATACCTCCTCCATAGGTTAAGAATGGTTCGCACTCAGCCGTAATGACCAAGGAAATCCACAGTGCAGGTGACTTTCTACAGCAGGTGACACACCACTGCATTAGCTTAAGACAGAGAAGTCCTTGTTGTTATAGGAGCATCCGGTGTAGACAGGGCCTGGCCTTAATTAAGAAAAATAAGACTCATACTACATAGGGAGAATGCTTTCTTGACTCTAAGCAGTTCACTTCTGATGTCAGGAAAGGCTCTTTGAATCCATATCTGTTCTCAGATGAGTTCTGTATCATTCATTCAGTAACAGAAAACATTGTATGTATGCCGTTTATACTTTAGAAGACTGCTCTTATATCCTTGTCAAAGGGAATATTTAAAATGTATCTATTTTTGTATCAAGGACTAGTCATGTCTATGGAAAGTGAGTTGTTTGCAGAATGTAGAGATCTATGGAAGTGTAATATAGCAATACATCTCACAGGCATCCACACACACATGCAGAGAAAGTAAAGGGGAGGGATAAGAGCTGGAGGGAGGATGAGTTGCTGTTTTTGCTAAGGTTTATAAGTTTCCCTTGCTCTGTCATCAACCCCACACCTTGCCCTTGCCTAGACAGTAACTTGCGGCTGGTGAGGGTGACACGTTATCAGAGAAAATTCAGGAAGTCACTTTGTAGGGCATTGATTTAATTCCCTTAGAATCTCGTTCACTTATAATTTTATTAGACTGTACATTGAAGCCAGTTCATTTCCTGAAACTGTATTAGCCTAATCAAGTAGATACTGCTGAAGCAGGAAGGATTAAATGAGATTGTTCTTATACATGTCACTAACTAATTGCCTTGGTGAGGATTAATCTAAGTTTTTGCTTGGACTTGTCTTAATAACTGAAAGCTTTTGGTAATGTTCTGCCTGTAGTTTTCTTTCTAGGTGGTTGGAAATATAGAAGCCTTTATATTCATAACCAAATAATAGCAGGAATAAAAATGCTTTAACTTCTTTTATCCTTCTTTCCAGTAATACTTCTACATTGTTACTCGTGGAGATGATGGATTTTCATTGAGCCTTGATGATTTTATTAGAGACAGTCTGATTGAAATAATAGGCCATCATCATAGATGTATTAGAAGTGAATTTCAGTTCTGACTTTATCATTTGCCTTTGTTACCAATAGTAAGTTGCCTATTCAGCCAGACTGCTTGAAACCTTCCCAACAAGCCGAGGTTAGACTTAACAAAATGGTAAAATATTTTGAGATTTATTAATGCAAAGTGCTTTTGGCTGACTTTGGCATTAATGACTGAAAATCCTCTGTGGTTGTCTTCCATATAAAATAGTGAACGTTAGAAAGAAGTCATCAGTGAAGGAATCACACCATTGCTGGAAAAATGCCAAAATAATTCATTTAAATCTTTTATTTTCTACAGCTAAAAAGTAATAAGAATAAAGTGAATTAGTCTTTGTGGTTATACTCAGTGATAAGAGTGCTATGGAATACAAATGATTTGTACCTATATTTGTTTGAATTTTGAATATTTGAACTTCTTGTTGTGATGAATTCAGCATTTTGCAAAAAGCTAATGAGATAGTTTTAGTAAATACTTATATAGATCTTTCCCCCTGAGGGAAATAAGCCTTTAGTTCATATGGTAAACATTCTTAGGGATTATTTGGGAATGTGTCACAACAAAGCACAATTTTAAAAGCAGTCACTAAAGATATGTCAGAAAAAATGCTGAAAAGGTTTGCAAAATCTTGTTTTATAAAAGACAAATAGGGCCTCCCCTGGTGGCGCAGCGGTTGAGCGCTGGGCTGCGAAGCTGCCCGCAGCCTCTGCAGCGCCGGTTCAATCCCCGGCCACCGGCGAGGGTCCCACATGGCGCGCAGACCTCTCCTGCCGCCCGCTGCTCCCCTCAGCAGTGATTTCGGTCCTTCTGTCTGTTCTGCTCCCCGCTCTGGCTCTGGTGAATTCTGTCACCCTCCCGCGCTTCTGACTATACCCAGTGCTTGTATAAATAAATAAATCTTAAAAAAAAAAAGTATGTATTAAAAAAAAAAAAAAAGACAAATAACATTTAAAATAAATTTAATAATCATTAACTCTTGGAAAAACTTCAGATTTCCATATTTGCTGGAAGTGGGAAAAGTCAACAGTTGACTTTGATGTCTTTTCTCTCCTGTGTGTGTGTGTGTGTGTGTGTGTGTGTGTGTGTGTGTAACTCACTATTATATATGAAGGAAAAGGGAAAAGAAACCATCTCATTTTTCCAATTAACTTTCCCAATATTGTTATTGTTATAATTTAGGAAAACTTGATTTCAGCTGATAATAAACAAAGTTGTTTTTCTTTTTACTTTCTGAAGCACAGCTTAGCCTTCCTCTTATATCCAGCACTAATGGCATCTGTCTTTGAGATTCTTTTGCTCCATAGTTTTTTTAAGGACATGACATAAAATTTATAAAATGTGTTTTCAGTGAAAACTGTTTGAAGTGATTGTCACTTGTTATTTCAGACACACTTGGAGTTAGCCTCAGTACTAATGTTACTCTGCCCAAAGGCAGAGACAAAACCAGTACCTGTGATCAGTTGTTGTGTCTTTTATTTAATGCTTTCTAGTTTGCCTCACCAGGCATTTTGTGCAGCTATCAGCAGCCCTGTTTTGTAGACTGCTTTATATTCTCTCTGTAACTTCAGCTCTAGTCTTCCTTCCAAATATAAATACTGATGAATAGTCATTTTGGGAAAGAAATCAGAGAGCACCAAGTCTGTCTCTACTTGAAAAGACTTAAGTGAAATGTTAGGAGGAGTCCGTCACCTTTCCTGCCCCTACTGTTGAACTACAGTGGGAGGGGGGAGGTGTTAAACTGAGGCAGGATAATCCAAAGACCAAAATATCAATACCAAATCATAAAAAGTGATAATAATCACAAGTCCTATCACTTCCAATATGTTAGACGGCACATGTTTTGTTCCTCATTTTACCATCCTCACCACTCTATAGGTAGGTAGGTATTGCCTCCATCTTCCTAATAAAAGGAATAATGTGATTTTTCCTAGAAGACACAATTAACTGGACATCTCAGAGATGGGCAATCTGAAAGTGCTGTGCCTGGCCAGGCTGCTTCTTTGTTTAAAATCATCTGCTACAATTAATCAACACAGTTCACTTTTACTGACTCATCACACACAGGCATTGTGGAGCTCTCCCTGAGTCCAGTTACTATGGGTCTGAATCACAATGCAAGCAGAATTTGCCTTTGCCCCTCTCTCTGCTGCTGTTTTATCCCAGTCATAAATGTATCTTTTATCCCAGTTTTAACTCTCAATTAGCCAGCCATGAGAATAAGTGGCCCAAATTCAAGATTGTTCTAGAAAATATCAAGTATAATTATTTGGGGTGCCTTTCATCTGAAATAGGATGAGGTCAAATGAATTAAAGTACATAAAAGTTTTAACCTAAGTTAAGAAAAACAAATAATTGCCAGAAAATTATTATCTAAAGTTCTAGGAAACAGTTATTGAAAGTCACTGAAATTAGAAAAAAATTTAAAGTATTCAATACCTTTATTTTCTTTCAGTGGATTGTACATTCTCTGTTTACAGAGAATTACTTTGCAGAAAATGTGGTCCATGAAAATAGGGCATCTGAAGTAAATTTGAACTAATGCTATAATGTCTTTTGAAGAAGAGGTTATTTTTAGAAAAAGAACAACATGTCTCAAATGACAAGATTTCATCTTTTTTTTTTTAATAACTGAGTATAGTATTCCACTGTGTATCACTTTTTAAATCTGATGGAGGAATTATGCTAGGTGAAATAAGAAAGAGAAAGATACATAATGGATTATTATACGCATATGTGGAATATAAAGAAACTAAACAAAGGAACAGGCAAACTCAAATAAAACAAACCCTAGAAATCTGCATAATTGAAACTACCACAAGGAGAATATAGGGGGTGTGTCCAAAGGGGGGAGGGGGCTCAGTGGACTATGGTGGAGGATTATGGGTGCTTTGGTGGTGAGTGTGGTGTGGTCCTATAAAGCTAAAGAGTTGTGAGCCTGTCCCCCTCAATCATATGCTGTGTTATAAACCAATGTTACCTCACTAAATTATGATACAGTTAAAAAAATTAAGAAGAAAAACGGAATTCTCTGCCATTTCTAGGAAGACATCAGATACAGGAAATGTGAATGTCACCATTACTTGCCTAATAGCTTGCCTAGGAGCAATAGTTGTTTTATTGGCATTTTCTCAAGATTGCCAGATTTATATGCATAAAAAATCATCATTTTTTTGGTTGAACCATAACATTTCAATACATAATATGTCCCATTTTAGTATACTCTGTGCTGACTAAAGACTTTAGATTGCTTTAAACTTAATTAAAAAATTTCTCTTAGTTTAGATAAAATAAGAGTTATTACAGTACTTTTGTATATTGAGTAGTTGCGTATGTGGATGATAGAGTTAGATTTTCTAGGTTTGAATTGTGACTTTATTGTTTATTTGCTATGTGACTTTGGTCAACTTACTTAACACTCAAGAGTCTCAGTCTTGTCATCTGTAAAATGGAAATAACAGTTAAACCAGTTTTATAGAATTGATGTGGAACTGTATGAGTAATACTTGTAAAGTGCTTAGAGTAATATTAGTATTACGCATAATGTAGTCTTTTGTGTCTAGCTTCAAAAT